ATTCAGAATACGCAAAAATATTATCTCCTAATTCAATAAAGTCTAATGAGAATGTTTTCATACCGAATACACGCATGGAATATTATGGCCATAAGATGAGCGTACGTTTTACTATACTTATAGGTGAAGTTTTTACCAATGGCAACTCACACTCCTTACAATCAATACGCATATGTGTATACATACCCACCACGCAACTTGACCCACATTACAACGACTCTCCTCCCAAAACGCGACATCGCACACAATTAAATAAAGCCAATAAGTCTTTCCTTTCCCACTACCAGACAACAAGAAGCCCTCTTACGAAAAAGCCCTATGACCGTCGAACCGTTACGTCTCAAGAAACACGACGCAGACATGAGCAAGTTCTACAAGAGCGAACTCTTTGCCTCTTCTCACCCAAATGCGGTACACAACACAAGAAAATTTCTCAACGCGTACCGCGCTAACAGATGAAGAATAAGGGTGAGGAGATAATGTTACAAAAAAGTCCGGGACGGAAGTTATTAATGTAAGCACATCTATTATTTTATTCGCGTATTTTAACAGGTGATGTCTTTGCGTTTTCAATGAAACAAATAATTGAGAGTTAAATAACCCGACTAATTATCATGATGCTTTATTATACTATTGGCAGTACTGTATATCTAAATTATTTAGGGTTAGGGTTTATTCCTAGAAGCCGTGCATGCGTGATTATACAGTGTGTAACCGAAAAATAAAAACTGAAGCAGGTAAACGATCAGTGGATGTAAAACAGCCCATTTAGTCTTTTAGATTTATTTAACGATAAGTTAGTCTAGTATTCTTTCACTATTTCTTTCAATAAAAAGTTTGCAGCGCGGTTTTATAGAGTTAGCTAAATTAATTAGAACTGTATCAGGAATTTTATCCTTCATAAATCGTTCTAGTTGCCACAATTTTTGATAATCCCTTTTCTACACATATCTTGACTATATCCAGAGATTTATAAATCCGGACTGTGGGATGGTCAGTTTATTAAGTGCTTCACATTATTATTAAGAATAATTTAGCAATTTAGCAGGTATTGTTAGGATTATTGCTCTTTCTGGTAACTATAATCTTTTTAAATGTCTCAAAATTGTCATACAAAATATATTTACACTCCCTGGACTAAAGTATCCGATGGGAGTTTTTTCGAGTTTATGCAAAATCCAGTATAATAATTATACAAAGTTTTTATATTATTTTGTAGCTTAGCTTTTCGCGAATCTGCATGTGATTTTGAAGCGTTTGGCTTTTTTATACGATGAATTATCGAACAAAAGGCAATTGCGATTAAAATCAATTTCGCCGATTTTTGGCTCTAAACATTTAGCTTATCCATTATTCGAAATACATGCCTCAAGCCTTCTTGGCATGCTCTTAATCAAATTGGAATATGTTTGATGAGGAATT